ACCTGGGGGTTGCCTGATCACGTTCTGTTTTCGTGTTTTGGCTTTGCTACTGCCGTTTGGCATCCCTATTCAACGGTCCAGTTGTATGACGCCTGGCGTTCATATCGCCTTGGGTCATGGGATTGTTGATAGATTTTTTTTTTTTGACATGTTCTGGTTGGTTCTCTCGGTGGGGTGACGGTGTTCGGGGGCTGGCTTGGCCAAGGGGTGCCGGGAGTTGGTGGGTCTTGGTGGGCTCCTGGTGCACCCTCAGTCGTGGTTGGCGGCCGGCTTTTGCTCTGCCGGAGGACACTAGATGACTTTTGCGATTTAGTTGGGGGGGCCGAGTTTTGGTTTTGCTACCTGGTGTTCTCTGTGTGGGTCTGGGCCAGTGCTTGTCACCCCGGAGGGACTCCTGGGGCTCCCCAATCATCTGCCTGTTTGCGTTTTTTCGCCACATGGCGTATTAGTTTCAAGTGATTGGCGTCACTCGCTTCGCGATTAAGCTTGGCGTTTCATCTTTCCTGGCTTCGCGATTAACCCATCATGGGTACGCCGGGGCGCATCCAATCCCACGATCGTCGTCGCCCCTAAATCAACAACAACAACAGTGTTAAATGTAGAAAAACAGCATGGAACAATATAAGACATATAAATGAACTATTGGGAAATGTGTATGACATGTATAGGGAGGAGACATTATTGGAACCAGGCAGGAAGCATATAGGCAAGGCCTTCTCATTCACTTGGTGGAGGGAGGCAGTGAGGACAGGACCAGATTCACTTGCGTGTCTTAAGATGGTCTCCAGACTCCGATAAGTGCAATATTAGTGGTTGTTATAGCGGTGCTTCTATTTTTGTATGAGTTAGGTATACGAATTTGTAGAAATAAGGATTTTAGAACCCTGTGTGTAGGTAGAGTGGTGTGTTGTTAATTCAGGCGCATGTGCTCAGCTCTGTGTCACATGAGATTATCCACATTTACTTTGTACATCCATTTGTGTATTGTGGTCAGAGTAGTGTATTGTTAGCAACCCATGCCCTTTTGTAGTGACCCAAGAGAAGTGGGGTATAGTGATGACCTTAAGTCCCAGTTTGTAGAGGCCTAATCTCTTATGTGTGGACCCTTGTGCCAGTGGTCTCCTGAGGTGTGTGTTGGTGGGAAGGAACCCCCCCCCCCTTTGTCTGTATCAACCCTGTGGTGGATCAAAGTACACCCTCCCCACCTGTTCTAATCAGTGTGAGAGATAATCTGGCATTGTTAAATAAAAACCCTTTTGTAAAATTGTACCCCAAGGTGAATTTCTTGTCCCATGTAGTTAGAACTGTTGATTATCGATATATAGACCCACGCACTCCCATTAATTATAAGTAAGAGCGGGTGTTGTTAGCGATACTCTAGGGTACAGCTTTCAATCCCATACCTTACACCATTGTTATCGTCCCACACTAGTGACCGGTCTCGAATGGGTACGGTGCCTGGCCTGCTTTCGGCTTGGCTGCGGGTGGGCACGCCGCGGTTTTGGACATTATATGCATATACTTGTTTAGGGAATTCTATTGCAAACACATTAATACCAAAAATGAAAGACCTAGGATGAGAATTGAGGTGACCAAAGTTAAAAAGAGTATACACATTTTATTGCTCTTGTGCGCTCACGGGTAACGTGCGGCCAATTTTTCGGTTTGGTGCGGGTGGTACGCCGAGTTTTTGGACTTTATATGCATATACTCCTGTAGGAAATTCTGTTGCAAACTCATTGATACAAAAATGAAAAACCTAGAATGAGAATTGAGGTGACAAAATTTAAAAGAGTGTACACTTTTCAGTATTACCGCGCACTCACATGGAATGCCCGGCCCACCTTGGGGTGGTCTGGCGCTCGCTTGCCCAAAGCGTTAAAGTGTTAAGATAAAAAACAGTACTCTTGCTAATGCCATATTCAGGGCACATGACCCTTCTCGGGACTCCGCTCTCCACCTTCTTAATTATTTCAACTTTCTTCTCAAATGTCATCACTGATCTCTTTCCTGTACGTATCCTGCTTGTTGAAGCTTTCACTGATACATTAACCCTTAAATTGCGCATGGCGTATATATACACCATGAGTAACATGTCCCACCGTGTGCATGGCGTATATATACGCCAAAGGGTGCCAGGCACGATTCAAATGTCCCGTGGTGTAAAGGGGTCACCCATACCGTAGCCAGGGGCGATTGTAAACAGACGCCATCTTGAAAAAAAATCTAGAGCAGGCCTCCTTTGTTTCAGAGGCCTTAGTTAGTGGCCAGACACCATGGCGAGTGCATCATGACTCAGCGTGCGACCTCGCTCAGCGCACCGCGCCGCGCAGTCTTTGACCGAAGACGAAATTGCTAATGAATTGTTCAAGGACGTTGACGAATCTGATATTGACGACTCGGATATAGAAGAGGACTATATACTGCCTGAAGAAATAGAAACAACGGATAGTGAGGGTGAACATGTTGGTGCCACAAGGGTGAGGATGCCACAAGAGTTACCCGCTACTACTCAACACCACCTCGCGCCCAAGCACGTCGTTCATCTGCTCCATTGCACGTTTATGATATGATCGACGAGTCTAAAACAGGTGAATCTTTCTCAGGTTTTAGTGATGAAGAATCGGAGAATAGTTTTACCCCGGCTGTTAGTGCCAGTACGAGTCTCGCCACATCAGCTGCCCGCCCAGCCAAGCGCCGCCACATGAAACAATATGGCGACAATGAGGAACAAATTCCCTCATGTTCCAAATCTTTTCCCTCATCTACCCTTCCTGCCCCTACTGTTGCAATGCCTGCTTCAGCTCCTGGTCCCCGGATTCCTCGACGTGATGCAGCTAATGGCTCTCGGAAGGCAGCAGGTTCGTTTGTGTGGAGTGAAGATGATGATTTTGTCCACAAATTCCCGACTTTGACAACAGAGATGTGGGAATTACAGATCTTTTCCCTGATACTGGTGACAAAATGAGTGAAATGGACTTCTTTACTGCATATTTCGATGAGCCGCTCATGGAACACATTGTTCACGAAACAAACAGACTTACGGCCGATCTCATTGAAGGTGAGGAAGTATCAGAATTTTCACGACTACAGCGTTGGAAAGAGACAACTGTTGGTGAACTGTATGTGTTTTTCGCAATTTGCACGTTGATGAAACATTGTGTGAAACACGTAGTATCAGATTATTGGAGCAAAGACAACGCTGTTCCAACACCATTGTTCGGGAAATATATGTCCCGAGACAGATTTCTGTTGATCCTACAGTGCCTTCATTTTGCAAATAATGCAGACAGGATGATAGGCTTTGGAGGGTGAGGCACGTGCTAAATGACCTGATTGGAAAGTTCCGAGATCACTACGTACCAGCTCAGAAGCTGGTTATTGATTGTGCTTTTTAAAGGACGAGCTGCCTTCAAGCAGTATATTCCCTCAAAACGCCACCGGTTTGGACTGAAATTCTTTGTGCTCTGTGACTGTGAATCAGGAATGGTGTTACACATGATACTGTATTCCGCCACAAATGTAGATATTCCTGCTAATGACGAACATGACTTCTCAGGTAGTGTGATGAAGGCACTGCTTGCACCATATCTGAACAAGGGCCACATATTGTACACATAACTATTATACCAGTCCCTTGCTAACAAAATTCTTACTTGATAATAAGACTGGAGTGTGTGGCACAGTAAAGCCAAAACGAAAGGAAATGCTTGTGTTTGACACTGCTATGCAAGTAGGTGATTGCGAGGTAAGAAAAAGTGGTGCAATGCTTTCAGTGCGGTGGAAAGACAGACGTGAAGTGAACATGTTGACCACTATTCACCTAGGTACAATGGTGGACAGTGGCAAGGTGAACAGAACAACAAAGCAAATAATATATAAGCCAGATTGTGTGATGGACTACAACATCAACATGCGTTTAGTTGATAAATGTGACATGATGGTGGGTGCTGTAGTGTGTGTTCGGAAAACAGTGAAGTGGACGAAGAAAATGATTTTCCACCTTATTGACGTAACAATGCTGAACAGTTACAACATATATCTTGTGAAAACAGGTAGAAAACCATATTTCCGTTCATTTAGTTTTCAAGTTGTGAAACAGTTACTAACTAAATTTGGCAAGGACACACCTGGCATACAAAGACCCATTCGAGACCCAATATTGAACCATGCTCCTGCACCCAGGCTCGCTTACAGGGAGGCCTTTCTGATACACCAAATAAAGAAATTACAGTACCACCAACTGGATCTCGTGCAGCAGGCCAGTGTCGGTGTGTTGTGTGTTCCAGTACTGTACCAAATTGAGGCCACAGAAACGTAAATTGGTGTTAACATGGTGCAAAGCGTGTGCAGTCCCTCTGTGCCATATCGACTGTTTCGCACAGTATCACAGTCTCCAGGACTACTAAATGTGTAATTCTTTTGTAAATAAATGTACATATCAAGTTAATTTTAGTGTTTATATTGAAAAAAAAAATACATTGAATATTTCCTGTAAATTATACCATTTTGGTGGGCATACTTGTGACACTAATACGTGAGCGCCTAGTGAGTTTATACCAGTTTTATTATAATACAACGTCTAGTGGTAATAATTGGAACAATACTAGCGAAAAAAATGTGTGTAAAATGACCCAAGAATAATGTAAATAATTCAGCGAAAATAAATTCGCGGCAACTCCGGCCTCCTGAGCGGCCGTGAGTGACGGCTGCCTGACGCAGCACCCTTGAGCGCTCACGCTCCGTGACATCATCAGCCAACTTGTCGGCTCAATTGTGTCATTGGTATGTACAACAGATTTTTTTTATGATTTTTCCCGTGCTCAGAGGACACAAATTAATGTGTTTAGAAGACGAAAAAAAATTTTAGAATATTTTTTTTCTTGCGCACAAGGGTGTAAAAGTCCTCAGGACCCCTGAGCAGTGGAAGGGTTAAAATAATAAAATATACATTGATGGGCTGTAATGTACTGTGTACAGCAAGTCATTACTTCAGTTACCTTTGCAACACCTTTGACTGGGGGTGGGAAGAAGGCAGCTCTCCGAGCCTCTGCAAAAGCCGCTACATTGCTGCGCGCAGTACTGATGATGGTCGAAACTGCATTGCCATTCTCGAGACTCCAGGCCAGATATCTTGAGGCTGAGAAAAAATATTTTGGTTTAGTGCTTTAATAGATACAGTACATAGACCTATGTTTACCACTAACTTCAGCCCAGCTGTGAAGAAACAATGTATGTTTCCTCTTGGTTTAGGTTTTTTGCACACAATTATTATAGAGCAAGAAGAGCCACTGTCATAGTACAGCATAATTTACAACTTCACCCACAGAACCTTTGTTCTCACTTTATATACTGTACTGTACCTCGTTCTAATCTGGCTAATCTTCATACCATCAAAATCATCTTAGATGAACATAAGCAGCATTAGAACAAATGCACGTTTAATGTTAAAGGAAGAAGTGAGGCATAGAAACACATGCATGTGAAACAAAAGCTAAACTATAGACCAAGTACACACACAAATGTGTCCAACAGGACAAAGTCCAAGATGGCTGATACTGTCACACATCTGAATAACTGGGACTCATAAACCCTTACCGACAACGAGGAGTGTAATACAGTACATTTTGACATGATGTGCCAGGCAAAATAAATGATACGACAGTCAGATCAAGTGGCTAGGTGTGTGTCCACTTAGTGGCACACAGGTGCCACACAGGTGTATGACACACAGAAATCACAATAGCGTGATATAACAAATGAACAATAGGGCACAGCTGAGAACATCCTGTCCATAGGTTCGAGCCCTCATCTAGGGCCTTGTGGATATGCTCAGGTGTATGACATTTGCTTATTTGCTCGTTTCTTTACATTTTGGGGAGTTCTGCCTCTCTGTTTGGTCTTTGGTTTAAATTTCTTACCAAGTAGGGTCTGTTTTGTCATGCCTACCTTTCTGGGTGTCTAACCCTGGTAGATGGCAGACAGGGAATACCCCTAAATACAAGGTTTCCTTAGGTCATTGCTCTCTGCACCTCTCTGAGGGGGCCAGGTTCTGGCTCGTGGTCACCATCAGGCAGAACTCCATTGACTGAAGCCCCCCAGACTAATATAGCGTATATCAGTCCTAGCTCCAGGGAGCTTCTGGGGCTCCCCACAGAAAAAGTCTCATTCTTGATGTGTGTGTTGATGTTTTGGGTGTAAAACTAAACAATTTGGAAATGATGGGAGGTCAACAATACACACCAATCTAATTAATGTACTCACCAATTTTCTTAACAAAGTAGTAAATAATTGCCAGAGGCAGAAGCGGTAGTAGGTAGTTGTGCTGCCACAGCTCCACCAGGATACATGCCACAAACACTCCCTGTTACACACAAAACAATAAATCATCAGATAATAAATACTTTGACATCAGGAGGCATAATGTTACATGTTTAGTTCAAAGTGTAATGATTGTGGTCATTGTCATCATATGAAAAAATTTGTAGGAGCCATGATGAGGATTCAACCTATGTGCTGGGTGTTCCCCAGACACACACATTCTAGACGGCTAGACCACCACATGGTCTAGTCAAGTTAACTAGTCTAGTCAAGACCGCGATCATGTCGTCGTGTAGTCATCTAGAGCGTGTGCCTGGAAACACCCAGCGCATGGGTTTGAATCCTCATCACAGATTCTCCTACGGATTTTCTCATTGATGCAGTCACGTTAGTGTGTTTACTCCCCCTGTATTGTGCCATGTTATATTAACTACACATGTTAACATGTATAGGCCAGCAGAGAGCTGCTAAGTAATGAAGTGTTACCTCTGAAATTAATACGTACAGTATATCTGAAACTCTTAAGTTATTGAGAAAAAAACAGCGTTGGATGCAATAAAATGCCAATTCCTGAGCGAGCTCCGGTGGTTTCCAGAAGCTACTACTGTATCACTAATAGTGTACAAACTATTAGGTTGCAACAGCTGCAGAGTTCAATCAGACTACCGGAGACCATAGCCAAAACCTGGCCACTCTCACAGAAGCACAGAGCTGTGACATGTATTTACAGTATTTATTTATGCTACCACCGAGGAGGGCACTTAAAACCCAAGCGAATACAGTTCCAACTAGATACGCTGAGACATACATACTGTGTATGTATTAAGTAATCTGTACTACAATTTTCTGTAACATTATACTGCTATAGTTGTCAATACTAATGTCTTATGAATGTGAATATTATTATGTACTTGTGTATTATGTTTATATACATCACATTTCATTAGGTGGTTGTCGAGTGGTTAAAGTGTGTGTTTGACGAGTCTAAGCTGGCAAGCCCCCTGTGTATGTGTGTGTAATTACTAAGTGTGGTTACAGGTTGAGAGCTACGCTTGCGGTGTCCCGTCTTCTCAGCACTCTGTCATATAATGCTTTGAAATTACTGACGGTTTTGGCCTCCACCACCTTCTCACCTAACTTGTTCCAACCGCCTACCACTCTGTTTACAAAAGTGAATTTTCGTACATTTCTCCTGCAGCTATGTTTCGTTAGTTTAAATCTATGACCTCTTGTTCTTGAAGTTCCAGGTCTCGGGAATTCTTCCCAATCAATTTTATTTACTTCTGTTACTATTTTGTACGTAGTGATCATATCGCCTCTTTTCTTCTATCCTCTAGTTTTGGCATATTTAATGCCTTTAACCCTTAAATTGTGCATCGCATCATATGATGTTTTGACCGACTTGCAGTAAATTGTGCAACGCATAATATGATGCTTTGGAGTACTACGCAAGATTTAAACGGCCCGCGGATACACGGGGTTCACGACACCTATCACGACACAACATCACACGTTCTATTCCAAGTTCTTTTCCAAGAGGCAGACAAGTGGAGCTCCAGCATATTTCAACAATCCTAAGTATTGTAGTACAGGATGATGATAGTGAGTGGTGTCCCAGAGAACATAAAAGTATAGTGCTCTTGAAAAATAGGTGAGATAACAGGAATGTGCCAAGGGAAGTGAAAAATTGGATGAGAAATGTTGCCCTAGTGTTTCCAGTGCAGAGAAGAACATTCAAGACGGCCGCCGGCAAGAGGAAATACAAAACAGAGCTTGATTTTGCTGGATTCAGTGAAGAAAGCATTGATATAAACAGTCTATACAACAAGTTGGTAAAATTAGATACTATAGTGACCTCTCGTGTAGAAATAATTAGTAAATTGAAAGAAAGTAATGACCATTTAAATAACAAAGTTGTATGTCTTGAGGATTTAGTGAAAGACTTGCGCAAGGATAAGAATAAATTGGACCTCATCCACTTACGATTTTTTTATTATTTTTTCCATGATCACAGATTAACAGGTTAGGAAGAAAAAAGACTTTTTTTTTTTTTTGTATGTGCCTGTGGGTGTCAAATGGTATATAGCCATGCGCTATTTAAGGGTTAACCTCTCCTTGTAGCTCTTGTCCTTCAGTTCTGGGAGCCACTTAGTGGCATGTCTTTGCACCTTTTCCAGTTTGTTGATGTACTACTTAAGATATGGGCACCATACAACTGCTGCATATTCCAGCTTTGGTCTAACAAAAGTCATGAACAATTTCTTAATACTTCTCCATCCATGTATTTAAAGGCAATTCTGAAGTTAGAAAGTGTGGCATAGGCTTCTCGCACAATGTTCTTAACCTTTAAATGGTGCATGGCTATATACCATTTGACACCCACAGGTGCATGCATGCATGCATGCATGCATGCATACATACATACATACATACATACATACTTACTATAATATATATATATATATATATATATATATATATATATATATATATATATATATATATATATATATATATATATATATATATATATATATATATATATATATATATATATATATATATATATATATATATATATATATATATATATATATATATATATATATATATATATATATATATATATATATATATATATATATATATATATATATATATATATATATATATATATATATATATATATATATATATATATATATATATATATATATATATATATATATATATATATATATATATATATATATATATATATATATATATATATATATATATATAAAAAAAAAATCTTCCTAACCTGTTAATTTGTGTTCACTGGTCATGGGGAAAAATAATAAAAAAATCGTAAGTGGCATATATTGCCCGCTATAGGGCGAGGAAGTCTGGCAAAAAACAGGCGCTGACTCAGCGTGCGTCCCAGGCGGTCTGTTGCTTGCCAGCTGTCAGGCCGGAGTTGCCACAAAAAGATAATTACCTAATTATTTAAATGTCTCTGATTTTTCGTAGTTTTTTTTGCTGTAATATTATTCAGTGGTGTGTAGTGTAATATATTTATATAATAAAATGAGTGAATCATCGTTGTACTCAAAAATATGGTGTACATATTGTTGATTCAATTATGTTCATCAAACAGTGAACAAATATTTTGTCGGTTATTACACTATATACACAGGTTATATACAAGTATCTGCATGTTTTGTTCACCATAACGAACCACTAAATTGCTATTACGAGTCAAAAAGTAACGAGGAGTGACCGCCACACACCAGCCAGCCACTCACTCCCTCCCTCAACACCTCACACGCCCACATTCTCCTCCCACCATACAGTTTTTGCTTTTATTCACTATATACAGACGTTATATGTAAGTATCTACATTCGTGTTCACCATAACGAACCACTAAGTTGGCATGCTGAGTGGCAGCCTGCCACTGGCTGCTACTTCCTCCCTCCCTCAACACCTCACTCACCCACATTCTCTTCCCACAATACTGTTTTTGCTTTTATTCACTATATACAGACGCTATATATAAGTATCTACATTCGTGTTCACCATAACGAACCACTAAGTTGGTATGCTGAGTGGCAGTGGCAATGGCAGCCAGTGGTAGCCTGCCACTCCCTCCCTCCCTCACCTCACCTCACTTGCCACCATTCTCCTCCCACCATACTGTTTTTTGCTTTTATATACAGACGTTATATATAAGTATTTACATGTTTTGTTCACCATAACTGTACATCTAAGCTTGTATGGTGAGTAAAGGCACAAAGACGTAGCTACACACAAGTCAGCTGGTGGCTGCCGCCTTCAAGGCCAGATGCACTAATATTTCTCCTTCAACAATACTGTTTGTGGTGTTATTACGCTATATACACACATTATATATAAATATCTACCTGTTTTATTCACCATACTTGTACAAGTAAACTGGTATGGTGCCCAAAAACCATCGTGGTCACCAGTAAACAACACGATAAGTCCTGCAGACGACGCCACCGCCCTCAACAAAATGGCGGCTCCCAAACTACTCCTCTTGCCGTTTATACCCTCTATACACACGTTATATATAAGTATCTACATTTGTGTTCACAATAGCGAACCACTAAGCTGGTATGGTGAGTGCAGTCAATAAAAGGTGGCCACACACAGTCAAAAGACAATGCCACTACCCTCCCCTCCCACAGCATTACTCCTCCCTCCATGGAGCACAGCGCTAAATATCACCACAATCCTGCTATTATCAGAACCCTGGTCAGTTTAGCACAGTCAGGGGTCTTCTGTAATAATATCATCGCTACATAATAGCATGAACAAGTATATTATGGCATTTTTAGGCGATGCTGTGGTCACAAACTGAAGAGCAGTGCTGTGAGCTCATGCTGCGTGCGTCAGGGTTGGTAGCTCACTCAATACTGAGGCCCCTAACACTCTGGAATTTGCCCATGTTTTTTTTTTTTAAATGGTGTCTGTTTACAAGAGTCCTGATGAAGGTGTGGTGAACCTCGTGTATCTGCGGACAGTTAAAATCTTGCGTAGTACTCCAAAGCATCATATGATGCGATGAGCAATTTACTGCAAGTCGGTCAAAGCATCATATGATGCGATGCGCAATTTAAGGATTAATGTGGTCCTCATGTGACAGATTTTTACCCAGAACCACCCCTAGATCTCTTTCTTTATCGGCATTCTTTAAAGATTCCTTACATAATTTATAGGTTGTGGGGGGGGGGGTCTATGTTCTATGTTCTCCTATTCTACATTCCATAACATGGCATTTATTCACATTAAATTCCATTTGCCTAGTGGTGCTCCATATACTTATTTTGTCCAGGTCTTCTAGTAGGGTATGACAATCATCTAAGATTCTTATCTTCCTGATTATCTTAGCATCATTAGCAAACATATATAATTCACATATAATAATTGTGTATTCCATCTGGCAGATCATTTACACAGACAAAGTACATTACCGGTGCAAGAACTGAACCCTGTAATTACCCAAGAGTAATTACCTAAGTGTAGTTACAGGATGAGAGCTACGCACGTGGTGTCCCGTCTCCCCAGCACTCTTTGTCATATAATGCTTTGAAATTACTGACGGTTTTGGCCTCCACTACCCTCTCACTTAACTTGTTCCAACTGTCTACCACTCTGTTTACAAAAGTGAATTTTCGTATATTTCTCCGTATATTTGTTTCATTAGTTTAAATCTATGACCTCTTGTTCTTGAAGTTCCCGGTCTCAGGAATTCTTCCCTATCAATTTTATCGATTCCTGTTACTATTTTGAACGTAGTGATCATATCGCCTCTTTTTCTTCTATCTTCTAGTTTTTGCATACTTAATGCCTCTAACCTCTCCTCGTAGCTCTTGTCCTTCAGTTCTAGGAGCCACTTAGTGGCATGTCGTTGCACCTTTTCCAGTTTGTTGATGTGCTTCTTAAGATATGGGCACCATACAACTGCTGCATATTCTAGCTTTGGTCTAATAAAAGTCGTGAACAATTTCTTTAGTATTGCTCCATCTATGTATTTAAAAGCAATTCTGAGGTTAGAAAGTGCAGCATAGGCTCCTCGCACAATGTTCTTAATGCGGTCCTCAGGTGACAGTTTTCTATCTAGAACCACCCCTAGATCCCTTTCTTTATCAGAATTCTTTAAAGATTTCACACATAATTTATAGGTTGTGTGGGGTCTATGTTCTCCAATTCCACATTCCATAACATGGCATTTATTCACATTAAATTCCATTTGCCAAGTGTTGCTCCATATACTTATTTTGTCCAGGTCTTCTTGAAGGGCATGACAATCATCTAGGTTTCTTTTCTTCCCCATTATCTTAGCATCATCAGCAAACATGTTCACGTAATTCTGTATTTCCACTGGCAGATCGTTTATGTAGACAATGAACATTACCGGTGCAAGAACTGAACCCTGTGGTACTCCACTCGTGACATTCCTCCAATCCGATACCTTGCCTCTGATTACGGCCCTCATTTTTCTGTCAGTCAGGAAATTTTTCATCCATGTTAGTAACTTACCTGTCACTCCTCCAATATGTTCCAATTTCCAGAACAACCTCTTATGGGGAACTCTGTCGAAAGCCTTTTTTAGGTCCAGATAGATGCAGTCAACCCAACCATCCCTTTCCTGTAAAATCTCTGTGGCTCGATCATAAAAACTGAGTAAGTTCATTACACAGGATCTTCCAGATCGAAAACCATACTGTCTGTCTGATATTATATCGTTTTCCTCCAGGTGTTCTACCCATTTAGTTTTAATTATTTTTTCCAATATTTTTACTATTACACTTGTCAATGATACAGGTCTATAATTAAGGGGGTCTTCCCTGCTTCCACTTTTGTAGATTGGAACTACGTTAACCTTTTTCCACACATCAGCTACAACTCCTGTACACAGGGATGCCTGAAAAATCAATTTAAGTGGAATGCTGAGCTGAGGTGCACATTCTCTCAGAACCCATGGTGAAACTCCATCTGGACCAAGTGCTTTGTTCTTACTTAGCTCCTTGAGCATTTTTTCCACTTCGTCTCTAGACACCTCTATGTGCTCTATGTTGTTCTCTGGAATTCTTATTGTATCTGGTTCCCTGAAGATTTCATTTTGTACAAACACACTTTGGAACTTTTCGTTTAGTTTCACACATTTCCTGTTCATTTTCCGTGAATCTATTTCCCATTTTCAACCTCGAGGCCCGGTCCTCGACAGGCCTCCTTTTTGTTACACCCCCCCAGGAAGCAGCCCGTAGCAGCTGTCTAACTCCCAGGTACCTATTTACTGCTAGGTGAACAGGAGCATCAAGTTGAAAGAAACTCTGCCCATTTCTTTCCGCCTCCACCGGGAATCGAACCAAGAACCTCAGGACTACGAATCCCGAGCGCTGGCCACTCAGCTGTCAGGCCTCCTATGGGGAAATTTTGATTAGTAAATTATAAAGCTAGGATGATTTGGGTAACAGTGTTTACAGTAGGATCAGCATACTAAACCAGCACCATTGAACATGGTGTGTTCAATGGTGCTGGCATGTTCTCTGCACTTGGCTGCCATGGCAATAGGTTATGGCTATTGTGGTCACATATCCTACTTAAGCCCTTTCTCTTTTAGTTGATAGTTAAGCCATCATGATTATCATGATGTTATCTTGAGACGATTTCGGGGCTTTAGTGTCCCCACGGCCCGGTCCTCGACCCTTAGGAAGCAGCCCGTGACAGCTGACTAACACCCAGGTACCTATTTTACTGCTAGGTAACAGGGGCATAGGGTGAAAGAAACTCTGCCCATTGTTTCTTGCTGGCCCCCGGGATCGAACCCGGGACCACAGGATCACAAGTCCAGTGTGCTGTCCGCTTGGCCGACCAGCTCCTGGCCGGTCCCTTCTTCCTCCTCTTTCTCTCCCATCCAGGTCATTGGTTGGAGGGTTTCATTTGCACATCTGCTCCAGAGCTGGCTTCATTGCCCAGTGGGCACTATGGAGCTTTCCCCCCCACTCCTCTAATGGTTGAGGAAGGAAGGGGGGGGGGGTAGTGTTAATTAGCTTATGCTTATTTCAAAAGATTTGATCATTTGTCTACATTGTTGGGTAGTTCATTTTGTGGTTTGGAGTCTCTTTGATCCCTGAAGTGGCCTGTAATAGTGTGCTGACTTTCTGGACGCTTTCTCAGTGGGGTGGTAGTGTGTCACCTGTTCTCTGTACCTCTGAGGGAGCCAGGTCCTGATACTGGCCCAGTAGGCCAAACAGAATTCCATGGCTGATGTGACCTTGTAGTTAGGAGCCATCTCAGCAAGATGGCTTCAGGGACTCACCAGGGCTTATGCAGGAAGAGGCATGGGAGCCGGTCGGCCGAGCAGACAGCACGCTGGACTTGTGATCCTGTGGTCCCGGGTTCGATCCCAGGCACTGGCGAGAAACAATGGGCAGAGTTTCTTTCACCCTATGCCCCTGTTACCTAGCAGTAAAATAGGTACCTGGGTGTTAGTCAGCTGTCACGGGCTGCTTCCTGGGGGTGGAGGCCTGGTCGAGGACCAGACCGCGGGGACACTAAAAAGCCCCGAAATCATCTCAAGATGACCTCAAGATCTCAAGATATTTCATTATACTGAATGTTTTTTTATGATGCTATGCAGCTTTGGTACATGCTGATGGCCATTCTTTCTCCACCATTCTGCTTGATGGGTGTATAATTGTCTTCATCCTAGTGCTTGCAATGCGAGTCATCAGTGGTTCTTTGTTTTGGCCGAGCCCACATCTCGGTGCACACCTCATGAGTTGGCCATTCTCCTCTTTTTTTTTTTTATAGATGGAGGGTTTAGATATGAAGACTTGTACCAAGTTTGTTGAACCCATCTTGCTCTTCTTCTCCTAGCCTGGCTGGTGTAGTGTGTTAGTCTTCTTATCCTCCTCTGTCTCCTCAGACTGTAGCCCAAAGCATGTTAAGAGTTTTAGAGCCTGGGATTGATGTTATTTTGGGGTAGATGCAGAGTTTAAATCTCCATGTGGTCTACATGCATGGCACATTTAACATGCTTGCTTCCATCCCATAACCATGGAGTGGACACTTGGCTACCTTCAGGTGAAACTTTCACGACGGCACGAAATCAGCAGCTTCCGATTTATGTAGATGGCTTTCAGCTAGAGTCGGTGAAAGTTCCTACATCTCTTCCCTTTGGTGCAGCCTCTACTCTTGGTTGTTTCCTGACTGGAAATATTTGCTGTAAAAGTGATCTCTCTGGCTCATTGGTGGCCATTACTCTGGGTGTAATTATACTGAATCTATCAAAGTAAACAAAAAAATGGCAATGAATTTTGCTTTGTTTTATCATATTATTTGTGAACATTTACATTTAAGAAAAATAAACGTGCAAAATAAACAATACAAATTAGAGCAAAAAGAAAAGCCAAGTGAAGCACCACCAACCTGCTTGTGCCTCGTTCACCTCGAAGAAATGTGTGCTGGCAGACTCCGGCCAGCGCACTTTTAACACACGTTAACACTTTAGCGTCATGATGACGTTCGTGCAGTCATTAAAACAATACATGCAGTTCGGGGCATGACATCAACACCATCATCAATTAATTTGTGCTTATTCTTATTATTAAGTATAAACATTGTTAGTGAAAGAGTTTAACACTGGGCTGTGTGCTCACAGGTAACGCTCGGGGCCTACCTTGCAGTGCAATGTGGGTGGCCCGCCAGGCCAGGCAAAATGTTAAGTGTGTTTGTTAATACATCTTTAATTTAAATTTGAGTACAGTATTTACTGTAGGTTACTGTACATTTTAAAAGGCAGATATGCATCACACTCCATTCACCTGAACTATGTATGGCTGGTGAAGAAGACAAACTTAAGATGCACTAGTACAGTCAGACTCCTCGACTCGCAATATCTGGAATCCCAAGGAAGACAGAAATGGTTGGGCACTTCCCTTCATCTAATGCCGCTTTTCACAACAGTATATAAGTTCTTGAAAGTTAGTGGAAGGATGTTAGTTGATTTGCATCCTGGGGAGGGTCAGTAGTTCGACCATGAGCGGATATCGATATAAGCCTCATGAACATACAAACGCAGGCTGCCTGTCCCCTGACAAAATGAATTATTAGATGCAGAGATAATATTAGTTTTTACATTACCTTAAGATAAATGTTGCTGCCATTCTCATCATCGCTACTTATTCTCGAGGTGCTGCCATCCAGACTGGTCAAAGTATGGGAAGATGTGGCACGGGATGGAACACCAGAACTGAGGAGAACTCGAGGCCGAGGGGTGTCCACCATGGGGGTCAAGTACAGATCCTTCTGCAATTGGTAATCTTTCAACATTCCTTTCTAAAAAAACAAAAAAAGTGTGAAGGCGTGACAAATTTATCATAAAAATAATATTAGGAGACTATTACGGAATGAGAGGACTGCATTTCAGCAATATTATGTTATTATTAAAGTAACATGGAAATGGCATATATTTCTCATGCAATTTTACTCTTTATACAGTGTACCCTCGAAAATTCAGACCTCCATATAACGGATTCCTCTAAACAGACCACATCCACCCACCTGACCCTCCCTACAAATTTTGGATTTGTTGAAAAAACCAGCATTGAATGTAATGCAACACCATTTTCTGGGCGAGTTGTGGAGGCTTCCCAGAGGTTCCCCAAAGCCTGAGGGGCTCTCCACAGAAAACCAGCATTGAATGGAATAAAACATTAATTTCTGGGCGAGCCCCGGAAACTCTCTGAAACTATCATATACGTGGTTTGATCATGTCATCGGTCACAGAGTTCTATTGGCAAGCTGAGCCAGCTTGTCAATGCTGGAAAGCACCCCAGAGAGGTGCAGGAAGAGATTCCCCTATGAAAATTTGACATTTAAAGTTTAACACTATCGGTAACTTTGGACAGGACTCGCGTCCATTATTTTTCTCCCGAGTCCTAATTCTGGACCGGACTTGCGTCCACTACAAAAAATATTTGTATAAAATTCATTTTTCATCCAATCGACCTCGAGATAGTATCAAAATAAGCGCCTTTAGATTGCGCACAATTTGATACCAAAATGAAAGATATAACACAAAACTTGATGTCCGAACACTTGAAAGATTATAAATAGGCTTCCCTGCCCGGTGAGCGATAGTGTTAATCATACTTGCCACAACCAGAAAAGCACCCCAGAAAGATAGGCAAACCAAAACAAACTAATGCATGGTTTAAAAACAACCAGCGTTGAATGTAATGAAACGCCATTTCCTGGGCGAGATCCGGAGGCTCCCTGGATCTATCCGGGCTGATATGAATGTATTAGACCCTGGCATCAGTCAAAGCAAATGGAGCTCTTAGGCCTATTGGGGACCATGAGCCAGAACGTGGCCCCCTCAGAGAGGCACGGTTGCGTCGTCTGCATGACTTGTCATGCTGTGTAAGGTGGCCACATTGTATGCTCTTTGAGCACCATACCAGCTTAGTTGTACAGTTATGGTGAGTAAAACATGTAGATACTTATATATAATGTGTATATAGTGTAATAACACCACAAACAGTATGGTTTGAGGAGGAATGTTAGTGCGTTTGGTCTTGAACGAGTGAGGGAGGAAGGCAGTGTCAGCTGACTATGTGGTGACCTCTGTTATTGTCTGAACTCACCATAGAAGCTTAGTTGTACAGTTATGGTGAACAAAACATGTAGATACTCATATATATAATGTCTGTATATAGTGAATAAAGGCAAAAGCAGTATGGTGGGAGGGGTTATGTTGGCAAGTGAGGTGTTGTGAGGGAGGGAAGGTGGTGGTGTTTGCTGGCTAGTGTGTGGCTGCCACTCATTGTTGTTTTGACTCAATGTACCAGCGTAGTGGTTCATTATGGTGAACAAAACATGCATATACTTATATATAATCTGTGTATATAGTGTAATAACAGAAAACTATTTATTCATTGTTTTATGAACATAATAATTGAATCACTAACAAAGTATGAGTATCACTACTCATACTTTTGGGTATAGCGATGATTCACACATTTTATTATCTATCACAATACAAACTGTTGAATAATATTAATACAAAAAAATAAGAAAAAAAATGAATCGAGAGACATTGAAATAATTAGGTAATAATATCTCTGTGACAACTCCCACCTGACAGCTCGGGCTGAGCAGACCACCTCCTACGCTTGCTCTGTCAAAGCCTACGTTTTGCCAGACTTCCTTGCCCTATTGTGGCCAAAATATGTCACCTACGATCCGATTTCCCCCATCCCCCCCGGTCATCAGGGAACACAAATGAACACTTTTATAAGGTCAAAAAAAATTTTGTTTATCTCTGGCACACAGTGGTGTTGATGACTATTAATAGCAGAACAGCCCAAGGCTTAACCCTTAAATGGCGCATGGCTATATACCATTTGACACCCACAGGCGCATACAAAAAAAAAAATACAAAAATTTCTTCCTAACCTGTTAATTTGTGTTCACTGATCACGGGAAAAATAATAAAAAAATCGTAAGTGGCATATATTGCCCGCTATAGGGTGGGGAAGTCTGGCAAAAAACAGGCGGTGACTCAGGGTGCGTTCCAGGCGGTCTGTTGCTCGCCAGCTGTCAGGCCGGAGTTGCCACAAAGAGATAATTACCTAATTATTTCAATGTCTCTGATTTTTCGTAGTTTTTTGCTGTAATATTATTCAATAGTGTGTGAAATCATCGCTGACTCAAAAATACGGTGTGCATATTGTTGATTCAATTATGTTCATCAAACAGTGAACAAATACTTTGTCGGTTATTACACTATATACACAGGTTATATATAAGTATCTGCATGTTTTGTTCACCATAACGAACCACTAAGTTGCTATTATGAGTCAAAAAGTAACGAGGAGTGACCGCCACACACCAGTCAGCCACTCACTCACTCCCTCAACACCTCACTCACCCACATTCTCCTCCCATCATGCTTTTTTGCTTTTATTCACTATATACAGACGTTATATATAAGTATCTACATTCGTGTTCACCATAAAGAACCACTATGTTGGCATGCTGAGTGGCAGTGCCATTGGCAGTGCCAGTGGCAGCCCGCCACTGGCTGCTACTTCCTCCCTCCCTCACCTCACCTGACTTGCCACCATTCTCCTCCCACCATACTGTTTTTGCTTTTATATACAGACGTTATATATAAGTACTTACATGTTTTGTTCACCATAACTGTACATCTAAGCTTGTATGGTGAGTAAAGGCACAAAGACGTAGGACCTCACACAGTCAGCTGGCTGCCGCCCTCAAGGCCAGACGCACTAATATTTCTCCTCCAACAATACTGTTTGTGGTGTTACTACGCTATATACACACATTATATATAAATATCTACCTGTTTTATTCACCATACTTGTACAAGTAAACTGGTATGGTGCCCAAAGACCATCGTGGTCACCAGTAAACAACATAAGTCATGCAGATGACGCACCTCCCTTACCAAAATGGCGGCTCCCAAACTACTCCTCTTGCTGTTTATACCCTCTATACACACGTTATATATAAGTATCTACATTTGTGTTCACCATAGCGAACCACTAAGCTGGAATGGTGAGAGCAGTCAATAAAAGGTGGCCACACACAGTCAAGACAATGCCACTACCCTCCCCTCCCACAGCATTACTCCTCCCTCCATGGAGCACAGCGCTAAATATCACCACAATCCTGCTATTATCAGAACCCTGGTCAGTTCAGCACAGTCAGGGGTCTTCTGTAATAATATCATCGCTACATAATAGCATGAACAAGTATATTATGGCATTTTTAGGCGATACTGTGGTCACAAACTGAACAGCAGTGCTGTGAGCTCATGCTGCGTGCGTCAGGCTTGGTAGCTCACTCAATACTGAGGCCCCTAACACCCGGGAATTTGGCCCACGATTTTTTTTTTTAAATGGCGTCTGTTTACAAGATCCCTGATGAAGGTGTAGTGAATCCCGTGTATCCACGGGCCGTTTAAATCTTGCGTAGTACTCCAAAGCATCACATGATGCAATGCGCAATTTACTGCAAGTCGGTCAAAGCATCGTATGATGCGATGCGCAATTTAAGGGTTAAAGCATCTTTTTAATTGATTTTTGCAAATGTATAAATAATGATTTCACTTATCAACCTAAGTTTAATGTAGGTAAATTTTTACTGAACCAATAGAGCATGCAAATCTCTGCTCATTCGTGTTCGAGAGGGCAAGTGAATGCTGAAACCTGTCTAGAGTGCAAACTGGCACAACAAACCATAATTATGCTTCACTAAATCATAAAGTTTACATATTCACAATATTAAGAACATACAATAAAACCAGCGTTGAATGCAATGAAACGCCATTTTCTGAGTGAGACCCGGAGGCTCCCCAGAGCTTTACTAGGCTGATATGCTAATGTCAGACTTTGGCATCAGTCATGTGTATGGAGTTCTAGGGCCTACCGGGGACCACGGCCAGAACCTGGCCCCCTCAGAGAGGCAAGGGGAGCAATGGCCTATAGAAACCCCCATGTGGTAGAAAGCATTCTATGTCTGCCATCGACCGGGTCAAACATCCAGAAAGGTAAGCATTCCAAAACAAACCCCTATTCTGGTGAAAATTGCTACCTAAAGCCGAACTAGTGGATAGAACTCTTCAACAGAAAACAAGGACACTAGTATGACGTCATACGTCACCGCGCCGCTGTCTGCGCAGCTCGCCCCTCCCCGGGAGGGGGAAGGGGGAGCCCCAGACCTCCCACGCCGGCTATCCACCCATCAGTTCTGAGGCTGGATGTCAAAACACGCGAAAAACCGCTGACCGGAGGGAGGGAGGGTTGCCGGGGAACTTCCGGGTTGCACCCAGAAAATGGTGTTTCATTACATTCAACGCTGGTTTTCTGGGGGGAGCTCCGTCGGCTCCCCGGAACTAACTACCCACAGAGGAAGGTCAAAGGGACAGAACCGGAAGGCGGACACCACGCACCCCCCACGGAAGCGAGACAACCGGCAGCAAACGCCAACCCAAGGCGCCACAGCCCCGAAAAGTCCCGGAACAACACGAGAACAACGAGCAGCAAGGCCCCCGCACGAACACCAAAAATCCATGCCCGAAAGACTGCAAGGCCACGTCGCCCAGACGGCAGCGAGAGCAGCGAAGCCACGAACGCCACGGGCATGAGGGAAGAACACAGGCAGCCTAGCCGCAAGAACACGGCTGACCCCCTGGGACACCACCCGTGAACCGGGAAGAACAGAACCAGATCAACGCAAAACGCGCTCCGGAAACAAACACCGTGGCACGCAAACTACAG